TTATGGATGTCTCTACTGTAATAAACAAATACTTGCGCTCTGTTACTATAGTAGCACACTTCCTTTAACTTTTTGTAAAGGGTGAAAATCCAAGGTGATTAAAAGAATCTACAACAACCCTAACCCTATCTTTTTAGTGAAAAAACTTATTTAGTTACCAATACTTAATTTTTAATGAAATATTGAAGTTCATTACCAGTGTATTGCGCTACCTTTCCATTCACAGATGTTAGCAGACTACTGTTTAACTAATTATTGATTTCAATTGCAAATAGTTTTATTTTTATTTTACACAAAAGTCAGCTTGGTGGACTCAGGGGCGCCCTAACAATCCAGAATTTCAAATTTCCACTCTTCACCGATATTTGAACCCAGGACCCTGGGTTCGGAAGTCAAGCACTTAACCACTCATCCACTTCGCCCCCTTATATAAATTATAGATTATAAATTTGAGAGTAAAATTGTCTTCTTGATATTTGATCAGAATGTTAAAATTCACTACGTCATCAGTGGACCTGAAGACAAACCACTAATGTTACTTGTTCATGGCTTCCCAGAATTCTGGTACTCCTGGAGACATCAAATTTTAGAATTTCAAAAAGACTATAGGTATTGTCTCCATTTTTATTTTTCATGTTTAAATTGTACACTTTAATTTATGTTTAAATCTAACACTAATCATGTTTAGACATAATGTGAATGACTATAAACTGATAAGCTTAAATTGTTTCAGAACTGGTCAAAAATATTTTTTTTAAATGTGGAGTAATATTAAATGTACAACTGAATTGCACAATCTTCAAAGACAATAAAAAGTAGAATTCGGTATTGAGTTTTTTAAAACTCTTGTTTTAGTTTCTAATGAATAGATATGACAGAAAGAAAAAAATAGATTTAACACTAAGTTTGGACAATTGATAAAAAAACAACATCAGGCTTAATGACATAAATGATTATTTCAATTTATAAATTCATAAAAAAAAAAAAAAAAAAAAACTTTTTTTAAGCAACTAGATCTTATGACTGTCACCACAGAGATTCTAAGCTCAAACTTGGCTCACTTGTATCTCCAGTTCTACTGCAAGAAGTTTAGAGAGGGACAAAATAATGTATACTTCTGAAGGAGATTCTAAAACAATGAAAACAAAATTCTTTTTAGCCTAGTAATTAATCTTTGTTTCTGTTTACTATTTTTATATTTATATTTGTATCTAGAGTTGTGGCCATTGACCAAAGAGGTTACAGTGAATCCAGTAAACCTGAGGGAATAGAACACTATACTATGACAAAACTAATGTCTGATTTATCTCAAGTCATACAAGGACTTGGTACTGAATTTTTGTTTATTAAATATTTTGGTTGAGTCACAGCTTTGACCATATTATTTACAGCCTATAAGTAACATATTTGTTCAATTAGCTCCTTGTACGTGTTACATATAAAGCTTAACCTTTTATTCATGATCAAGCTTCCTTTCGTTTTAATGAATGAACAGTATAATTCCCAATGAATGTCAATGTTCAGTCATAAAACCATTTTACATGTGGCTTTTGATGCTTGACCTAAAAATATTTTTGCTTTATTAGATGCCCTCAACATTGTATGCTACATAACCAAATTTTGTTATGTCTTACGGCTATTAAGGAAAAGATAACTTCCACTTCAAAACCAAAGTGTAAGTTTGAAACTTTCCCCTCACTGCCATTTTGTTGTGCCATCAGTAGCCTCCAGCTATTTAAATTTAACATTTTAGTACTGAAAGTCATATTCCCCCAATTGAGGGGGGGCCCAAATGAGTGTTTGAATATTTTTTTTACAGTAAATATTACGCAAAATGCAGTACCCCCAAAGAGGTCAAGCCTCCGAGCCCCCAAATGATGGTAAATTCCTAGCTACACTGTTAGCTCAGTGGCAAAGTACCTGAGTTGTCTTGAGTTCAAATTCCGGTGAAGACTTGGATTTTGGACTAAGGGATTATTAGGAGTCCACCCAACTCTAATGGGTACCTATGTTTGTAGAGTTAAGTTAGTTGTTGGCCATAGGAACAGATGAGCTTAACCTTATCTGACCTCATAGATCAGTTTAAAACATTAAGAATCTGGAACAGACACAAATAGAGCAGTGAGATTCATAAGCAAACAAATATTCACATATGACTAGAGTAACACCTTTAGTAAAATCACTAAATTTAGAAATTAGGATAGAAGACTTAAAAGTAAAGTAGCAATTATACATAAAACACTGAACCATAATCTTCAAATACAAAAACAAAATTTAATAAAATACTCAGAAAGACACAAAGATAAAGTCACATTCCTCGTTCCATATGCTAAAACAAATTTGTACAAAAGCTCCTTCTTCCCTAGCACTATTAGAGCATGGAAAGGGTTGCCTGAGCCAGTGACTTGTCGAAGTTTAGGTCATTGGTTAATATGCATGATTGAATGCATGATGCGTAGGGCGTAATCATCTTCTCTTTTGAAGTAACGTCTGTATCAAATAAAAGATAGATCACAAGGTCTAAAAGGGGCACTGTTATTCTAGGAGTGAATGAAAATATTTAGGTACCATTGTGTGTTAGTGGATGAAAATAAATACACATTAGTTAGTGTTGAGAAAGTGTTATGAAATGTTTAGTGTTGAGAAAGTGTTATGAAATGTTTAGTGTTGAGAAAGTGTTATAAAATGTTTAGTTAGTGTTGAGAAAGTGTTATCAAATGTTTACTTAGTGTTGAGAAAGTGTTATTAAATGTTTACATAGTGTTGAGAAAGTGTTATGAAATGTTTAGTTAGTGTTGAGAAAGTGTTATCAAATGTTTAGTTAGTGTTAAGAAAGTGTTATCAAATATTTAGTTAGTGTTGAGAAAGTGTTATCAAATGTTTAGCTAGTGTTGAGAAAGTGTTATCAAATGTTTAGTTAGTGTTGAGAAAGTGTTATCAAATGTTTAGTTAGTGTTAAGAAGTAAATAACACTCAGGAGCATACTTTTTTATCCTAAACATTAGAACTGCTACAAGTTTTAATTATGCAGTATATTATTTAATTTCCATTTAGGTTACACCAAGTGCACCCTCGTAGCACATGACTGGGGAGGAGTTGTGGCATGGGCCTTTGCCAGGAAATACCCAGAGTTGGTGGAGAAATTTATCAATATGAACAGTCCACCAATTTCCCTTTTCAAGTCTGTCATTCAGTCCAGCAATGAGCAATACAAAAAATCTTGGTAAATTATCTACCACATAATGTGTTAGTAACATTTCTCATTTTATGAATTCATATTTTCTCTTTTGCTGTAAGGCTAATAGAAAATACTATAAAAAAAATATTTTCTAAGCTCTGTTGACTCTAGTTGTCAATAAAAATAACAAAATAAAAACAATAATAATAATATGAATAAAATATTCTTAGGTATGTGTTTTTCTTTCAACTCCCATGGCTGCCAGAGTTTACGATGAAATCCAATGACTTGAAGATATTTGATAGCATGGTAGAGAAGAAAAAAGATAGGGAAGAAGAAGAAGAAAAAGAAAAGGCAGCTACTGTTACTGTTATAGAGAGTGAAGATATTGCAGCATACAAGTATACATTCTTACAACCAGGTTAATATGCACTTATACAAATGTTTGCTTAATGTTTACATGTTTCAGAAGTTCCTTTGTAGCGTTGTAGATAATCTACTTCCATGTCCAAAACCTGGACCATAGAGGCGGCTGAACGACAGCCCAGTGCACATACCCTTAAACCAGGCAGCAATTCGTTTTATTATTCCTCATAACTGCAGTCTTTCTCATTAAGAACATTACAGAATATTTTAGTCGTATCACTAGATTTTCAGGAAAAATTAACTAAAAGAATAATTGCAGACTGATCAAGGTAAATTCTGTAAACGTTGATAAATTTGTATATTCTACTTGAAAATTTTGAAGCATTTTTTTAGCTGGAGGTCAAGTTTCAAAGTATTGGTCCATGTTTGGAAAAGCCCTCTTGCAATCTATTTACTTTATAAACAAATTAAGAAAACTTAGAGGTAATCCATGGAACACAGAATCTTGGCAGATTATATGGAGTGATCACTTTTCTAACTTGTACAGTGTTTTAAAAAAAAACATACTTTGAGCATGTGCAACAAATTGTCTCAATTACAGTCAAACTTCATTATATCATAACAAGGTTCTATTGAACTCTCAGTTATTGGGAAAATTGTTGTTTTTTCTTTAAGCCCTGACCCAAGTTCAGTGATAATGAATAACTTTTTCTCTTCTGTTATATCAAAACAAGACTATTCTGATCAGATTGATGCAGTTTAAAATTCCATATGGTGACACTAACATTTGATTTAACACCACCTGTGAACGTGCTTGGTAGAAGCTGGTAGCTCCCCCAAGCATAAAGGCTTTAATTGTGTCCATCTCAAAAAATAAATCCATAAAAAAAGGATATGCATGTAATCCTTTCAGAATTTTGACTCATGATTTGCAATCAAATGTATCACCAATCTATTTATGATTGCTTTTGAATATGTATCACAACAACTGAAATCTTTCTGATTGAAACAGGGGCTTTCACTCCAGCCATAAACTACTACAGAGCTCTTCTACAGTTAAATTCAGCTGTGGACCATGACCTTGAGTACACAATGCCCACCTTGTTGATCTGGGGGGAGGAAGACAGCGCACTGGACATGATTCTACCCAAAACCATTCAGGAGTTGGCACCTAAGATAACAGTGAAGATAATCAAAGGGGCCAACCATTTTGTTCAGAACTATGCTCCTGAAGAAGTGAACAAGATAATGAGAGACTGGCTGAAAGAGGGGTAAATGAAGGTGAAGTGCTTTCATGTTTTAAAAAAGCCTCTACTCTGTCCATGTGTAATGGTGTTCTTATTTTTATAAGACCTTTTATTAATACGTTGATATGTCAACAAGAACTGTTAAAAGTTGAACTTTAATTTCCCATGTTAAATTTTTTTTTTTTTAAATCCATGTTTTGTTATAACAACTTAACTGATAATGATGTTATTAAATGTTGATGAATATTTATACTTCCTGCTGTACAGAATTGAGGTCATCATGTTATACATGTTCTATACCTCCATATTGCTTGGTAGAATTTAAATTTGAAGAAAAACTTATCTAACTAAATCTAGTTGAACCCAAAATATGTCAAAACCTAATTATGATACACCATTCATCAATTACTGAGATTTTGTTCTGATTTGTAAATCTTAGATGATGTGCTTTTTTCTTATGGTAATTAAAAAGAATTATTTATTTATTAACTAGTCTTCATTCACTCTTGAATATTTTTACTAATTAAATTTCTTTAATCAGATCTGATAAAATAATTTTGTGTATATCTAAATAAAATGTTTTAAAAAAATAGATTTTTTATATTTGAATTGGATTGTTTATTTTTTATATTTGAATTTTTAAATTAATTGTTCTTGAAGATGATTAATTACTTTAAAGGTAAGTATATGCAACTCTATTGTGTTCTTATGAAATACAGTATAATTATCTAAACAAAATTGTATAAATATATTATAAAAATGAGGCATTGAAATAATCAATAAAACTGATAAATTGATAAAAAGTGTGTTGTTGTTTTTTATTTACAAAAAAAAATTATAATACAAGACATAAAGTTATTGATCAACACTGTCCTTTTTAACACCTGTTTTTATTTCCACAGTAACCTGCAAAAAATAAAAGAAATCAATTTTTAAAGACATTGATGATATTAAGAATATAGTTGAAAATAGAAACTTTTAAATACCTTGGTACTATCCTAGACAATAAACTAAATTTTACTGCAAATACTGATTATATCAGCAAAAAAGGGCAGCAAAGATTATGATTTCTAAGAAAACTGTCCTCGTTTAATGTTAGTGAAAAGGGCTGGGGTATGTTTTATAATGCTTACATTGGTAATATTTTAAATGTTAATATTACTGCCTGGTATGGCAATCAGAGCATTAGAAATAAAAATAAACTTCACAGAATCCTAAATGCTGCTGGTAAAGTCATTGGCAAATAAAACAAATCCCATTTGGGCAGTTGTTTTAAACAGACATCCATAAAAAAAAAAAAAAGATTCTAGAAATAAAAAATCACCCTTTGGGTCAGGATTTTGTGATTTTACCATCACATTAATGATACAAGACATTGAAAGCAAAGACAGACACAAAAACACTTTTGTTCCCCTGGCAATCAAATCTGAAACAATCTGATATAAACTTTGTCACATGTAAATTATGAGTGAGTCTGGTGTGAATGTACATTTTGTTTTTTTAGTCGTAATGTTATGTTTGGTGTAATGCATATATTGTAAGACAAAATTCCTAATGGCCAATAAAGATTATTATTATTATAACTGAAATTTGTTAGGGCACTCTTAAATGGGGAGAAGCCAGTCATTCATTTTTCAAAGGACAAAAAAGGGTTGTATTTTCACTGTACAGTAAGATGACATAATTAACAATGTTAAAAAAATAAAATAGAATATTTGAAATACGGATCCATCTTCTAGTAAGAAACTTTTAAAACATACACCGTTTTTGTGAGAGGTGTCTGCAACAATATAGACTAAGAACTTTTTGAAGAAGACATTCAAGAATGTTTCCATTAAAGTGGTTCTTCTCAACTTTCTTATGTAAAAATGGTTGAAATTTTCAGTACCCTCATTGGCTTACATAGTTTGTGGAAAAAAAAGTCAGTGACAAGACTAGTAACTTAACATCAAGATGATCTTATGACGATCAAACCATGACTTACATCCATACTATCTATTTACATCAAGTGCCCTTAGTGTTTCAGTATTGGCTAGAGCTGCCAAAATCTTTAGTTGACCTGCATAATTTTTTTTTACCAAAATATATAGTGCGCCTAGACACCAGAGAATGCATTTCTCAGTACTGTCTGCAAGAAAACACTTTGACCTTTTTTTTTTGACATGTGAACTTTTTTTATTTACAAAGAATTTTTGAAGCTTAGAATGCATAAAAACATTTGAAGGATCCTACTGGGGGAGCTCTCAGCACTTCCTCAGACCCCCCATTGTCTGATAGAGGGAGAACCCACTGGATTTCCAATACTATTTTCCAAAACTATTTCCAGAAAGAACATTTTCTATCAACCAAAACACTTAAAAATCATCTACCAGACAAGTTTCTGAAAAGAATAGACTAAGCAGAATTGTTTTAATGAATATTCATTACATAGATTTGATTTCTAAACCTATTGTAAAATAGAACAAGAACATTTATTTCAGATCTCTCTATGTCTGAGTTTCTTTCCTTTTTCGTTAAATTCTTAAAACTCTTGCACAATTTCTTGTTGCATTTGTTCATCATTTATGAAATTTGAAGTGAGAAAATGTATTTAGTTTTGTAATTTTTCAATATTTATGGATTGAATGTATAATGCAAAGTTTCAATCTTGTAGCAAATTGATTATAGTTTTTGCTTTATCAGCTGAAACTTATTAAAATATATCTTCTTCAACTATTTATTTTATTTATTACACTTTAGTAGCATATTAACTTAAATGTTAGATTAATATCATAAAATAAAGTTAGGTTAGTTTTAGTTATTCTACCCCCCTAGCACATTTTTGCTCATCCCAGAAAACTTTTTTTTTTTCAATCAAAACAATACGCAACTGTCAAGAGTTAAAGAGCACACAAGCTGTATTTACTGACCAAGTACTTAGTATATGGAAGCTAAACTAATTTGTTGTGTGCTTTAAAATGGTGAGAGAATTTCTGTCTGTTCAGTGGAATCCTGTAAGGGTAGTAACAGCAATATCAGTACTTACTTCGTTTCCAGATATCATATGGTAATCTTTTAAAACAGATTCAAGGGATTGCTGGTCACAGTGAAGGGTAAAAAAAGCGACATTTCTATTAAATCCTGTTGTGTAATTCTGAAAAGAAAATTGAAGATTGTAAACACAGTTACAAAAAAAAAAAAACATCATTTGTAATATACTGAATGTAGATAATATATTTGTTACTGGTATTAAGTAAAAACAGGAGATTAAAAATTAAGCAAGGTATGTAGATAGATATATATGTAGTTAAGATTTCAAAAAGTTACTAGTATTTAAGCAGAAAGGGGATACAAAAAAATGAATGAATACAATACAAAAGTATTGACCTTTTATTATGTAATCTTGCAGAAAATTAAAATGATTAAAGAGATTCTTTCAATTATTACATTTTGATAAAAGAGACTCTTTCAATTAGTACATTTTGATAAAAGAGACTATTTCAATTATTACATTTTGCTAAGAGATGACTTTAATACTGATAAATACAGACATCTTCTGGCTATACTGAGCATACTAATAAAGCTTGCATCCTATTAGGAACTTACCATTGGAATTCTAACATTATGAACATCTCCAAACTTCTTAAAATAAGAAGTTATATCACCTGAAACAAAACAAACAATATTTTATCTACAATGCTTTGAAAATCTGATAAATATAAAAAAAAATGTTTGGATAGTTTCACTTCAGGAACAGCTATTCTTTGAATGATCCTGGTTTTGTGATCCTTCAACTGTGCCTGGAAGGATGGCGTTTGACAGTGAGTCTTATCTTGAAATAAGGTTAAACCATCTCTGAACCATCTCAGCCTTCATCTTTTCACAGTATTGAGGAGCCAGCCAGAAAAGTGCTGTGTTGACTTGTGAAAGTACAATATATACTAATGAAATCGGCTTTGTGAGCTAGAAATTTACTACTACTACTGGATCGCACACCATACTACCCCAGTATTTTTGTAATAAAAATAACCATCAAAATAAAGACGCATTGATAAAAGGTGAGATGTCCATTATGGTATACAGTACAAAAGGAGGGAGGGTTTCGATAAGGCAGCTTTACTCCAGGTCTAGATCTATGACTATATTTATATCTATTTATTCTGATAATAACTAAATACACACTAATTGAACACAGATCTATATCAGTCAACATTAATCTTAAAAAGGAAAAAGTCATCACCAATCATCACACTATAGATCAATGCAACTACAAAAATAATCTAACATACACATCCATAACATTAAAGAAGATTACCCATCACAAATGGAAGTTCTCAATTAAAAAGAAACAAATACCTATCACACTTAATATTAATAGCAGGAGATGTAGAATCAAACCCAGGACCTAGATCTAAAGATAGATGCAACATCTGTAAAATAAAAAATATGCACCATGAAACAGAAAGCCATTCAATGTGGCACCTGTGATGAATGGTACCAAGCATCCTGTCTCCATATGAATACACTTGTGTATTATGCATTAGGCAACAAGATGCATCGTGGCACTGTGTACCATGTGGGTTACCTCAGTTTACATCAGGACTGTTTGACCCCTTTGATGCAGACACTTCTAACCCATACAACATCCTAAACACCACCCCAAACCAAACTCACCAACCACTAGCCAGATCCACTCCTGTTAAACCTGCTAAAACTAATAAAACACCATCATTAAATAAACCTACTTAAGAATTAATACCAAAAAAACACTAAAACCTTAGTAATATATTTTCAAAGCATTAGGATCAAAACAGCAGACTTAGAAATTTAGAACTTAGACTTAGAACATGAGAAACCAGACATAATTGCAGGAACAGAAACTTGGCTACATCCTGAAATTTATAATGCCGAAATTTTCCATAGTGATTATGAAATGTTTAGAAAAGTAGGGCAGATAATCATGGAGGAGTTCTTTTGGCAATAAAAAATACTCTTATAGCAGAAGAAATTACCTTACCTAACTCAAAAAATATAGAATCAACATTTTGTAAAATCAACACCACCTCAACATCCCTAATAATAGGCAGTTTTTACAGACCACCAAATTCTAGTTTAGAGTACATGTATGCTAGAACTATGTAATTAGTTAACTACAAAATAAAAAAACAAAAATGCAGTTTTTTTGGATTATGGGTGATTTCAACCTACCTGATATAAATTGGAAAACACTAACCATAGATAAACACCAAAACCTTAAGGACATAAATGAGCTTTTCATAGAAACTTTACACAACCCAAGTTTAGATCAAATCATTAAAAAACCAACTACGTTAAACAAGATGTTAGATCTCTTCTTAACCAACAGACCTGGATTAGTAGTAGATTATATTATCCTTGGTCTATCAGACCATGATATCATTAAAATACACAGTCAGATATAAAAGCAGTAGCCAATACAATTTCTGGAATTTCTTTAGAAACCATCTAAAAAAAAATTTTTATAGAAAATCATATACCAACTAAATACACATCAAACAAAATAAATAAATACTGGTTTAATAATAGACTAGAATAATAGATTTTCTGATAGGGAGAGAACAAACTGTAATAATAAATGGTTCTAAATCAACACCG